AGTGCCTGTTTGGCAACAAAGGAAACAATATACAGCTAAATACATTTTGAACACAGATTATTCCAGACTTGATTTTTCCATTCACAGATTGCCATTTTGGCCGTAACACCTACATACAAAGTACAAATATTAAACATTGCTGTCTATGTTGCAAGATCTCTCATCATGCATAACATTTTAAGAAGAACAATATGCAGACATAGCCTACTACTTTTATAGCATTTAAAAACTGCTAAGGCAGCAGGGAAGATGCACGGGCATTCATTTGTGGTATTTTAACATAAAGTTACATTTTTACATCAAAACCTACATTCAGACAGTGATACACAAATGTGGAGATGTGGACATAATTTTTATTTATTATTATTTAAAAAAAAAAAATTCTAACCCACAAACAAAAGATCGGGCAAAACTAGAACAGAAATAAAAATTGCAAAAACAAGGAGGGTAAACAGACATTATCAATGGTTTTAAATGGTTTTAATTAACGTGTAGGCCTATTCATATACATGTACTGAGGCATGTTGTCACATAATGTCAAATTGTGTTCAATGCACTGTATGCTTTTGGGGCAGTATACAGTATGTGTGTGTATAAATTTGTTAGTTTTCGGGTTTCTTTTTCACATATTGGCAATGATACTGACTTGTTTTGTTTGAATATTGTGATAACATGGGCAGAATTTGAAAGCTGAAATATTAATTCTTATCAGAGGTAGTACACAAGCAAAAATTCCTGCGTACGCACAGTTAATGAATGAGTTTGAGCCTGCAGGTCCTCTTCCACAGCACTAGATGGCAGTCTTAACTAAACTTTGCAGTGTGTGAACTCCAAGCAAAATCAGTTAGGTGTCATCTGCCAGTACAAACAATTAGACTAAACGCAATTTGACCCCCAACTCATAGCTCAATAGCTTTTTCTCATTTATTTGGTTTATATAACATGGAAAAAGAGAAAATCAAGTACAGGTTTCAGATCGATTATACATCTGGGGCCATCAGTGTGCATAAGTTACACTTCTTCCGTTTCTATTACAGAGTGCAAAGTATTAGATTACTGTACACTGTTATTGTAATTGAGCAAAACTTTATTTGAATTCAAAGTGACAGCAGTGGATTTGTATTTATGCATGCTGACAAAGGGTCTATATCAAGATTTCCTATATATAGGCCTACACACACACACATACTAATAGTACACTAGTAGTACTATATTTTAAATAATACGAATACTCTAATGTATTAAAGCATAACCAAAATTAAATAATACAAATCAAGAAAATACAAATAAGGAGAAAATCAGAGGAATGATTACAGTTTTTCTCAAATGCTAAAACACATTTCACAAACGTTTCCTCCATGTTCCCCAGTGTCTAAACACAACACCCTTTTCTAAAGCTACATAAACACAAACCACACCTTCTCACTTCAAAACTCAAACTTTCACACCAAAAGAGCAGCTCGAAGCTTTCAAAAATGTAAACACTATACACATCATTACACACTACAGCAAAATTAGAGGATTGGCTTTTGTGTTTTAGCATTTGAGAAAAACTGTAATGATGTGAGAGAAAGGGAAAATAAGAGTGTCTTATATGGGTGAGCCTGAGCTTGATTCAGTGGAGGTGAATGAGACAAATCCTGGTAGATCGCTGCTTATTGGAGAGCTGATCCAAGACTGGTATTGAGACACTCTGGTATAAACACCAGGGAACTTGGGTATTCCACAGTCTCGCCCAAAACTCACAATGCCAGACTGAATCCACTGGGAATTGTTCTTATTTGCCATTGGACCTCCAGAGTCTCCCTGCATAGATTAAGATAATGTCATGTTAATATCTCTGACAGTATACAAGGTAAAGCCATTTTTAACCTCACAACAGGGCTAAACTGAATCGAACACTGCATCATTTCTCACTGTACAAGTTTGACACTGCAGTCCGGAGCAGGGATTCATAACCCCAGGGCAAAAGCGTTGCTAACACCACATCTATATTACAAGTGTAAACTGCTTTTAAAAAAAGGGATAAAAGTGGGGTTTAGAAAGACGATAACCCAGGGATAAGCCAGTGTAAAAAGTTGTAGTTAGTGATATCGTACCTGACATGAATCTTTTCCACCCTCATCTAGTCCAGCGCACAGCATGTTGCTTGTAATGATTCCTCCGTAGGCCTTATTACAAACACTGTTGTTTACAATTGGTATCTGCACCTCCTGCAGTATGTTTGGAATCTGGGTGTCTTTAACATAAATGGCATGGTGGAAAAAAATTTATCATTTTTTGGTTGTGACACTATACAAAGTTTGAATCATAGACGTGTTCGATTGAACTCACCTGCAAATTTGAGTTTGCCCCATCCAGTGATCCAACTCTTAGTACCTCCACCAAATACACTACCAGCGGCCGCCAGACAAACTGGCCTAATATAATCAGTGAACGTCACAGAAGAGGAGAGCTGCAGCAGTGCTATGTCATTGTTTTGGGTAGTTGTGCTATAGCTGGGATGGGTGATGAGCCGAGTCACTGTCCTGGAGATCTCATTCGGGTTTGAGCCCGTTTGCAGTTGACGGCCGAGGTAGATTTTTACATTAGATGGTTGAAATCAACATAAAATTGTCTTTTTGAATAATCTTAAGTTGTTATTAAATATATTACATTTATATACAGTATACTGTATATCAATTTATTAATAAATCTTTATTATTGTGGAAGATGAATAATTAAGAGCTGGGCACAAAGTAACACTTTTTGACTTTCTCAGTTTGTGTAAATCCACATAGGGTTCAGAGTATCATTTTTTTATCCACAGTAATTTCACACTTGTCTAGTACAAATATGTCGCTTTGTTTCATAATTACAGTGTATACGTTTTTCTTTATTTACCCTCAAAAAATGGAAGTGAAATGTGACAACATGCCCCG